CGTGACGGATCAAGAAGCGCTAGCACTAGTTTTTAGCCTCAAAAAGTTTCACTACTTTATATATGGCGTTCCAGCCTATTGTCCGAACTGATCATGCAGCGCTTACATCACTTTTCAAACGAACAAATGTTTCCCCTCGAGTTCTGAGATGGGCACTGGAAGTTCAGCGTTATGATCTAACCATAGAATACGTCAAGGGAACTGCAAATGCGGTAGCAGATGCGTTGTCCCGCGGGCTGCCTCCTTCGCAAGGTTTGACTCAGGGCTATGCAGAGGACGAAAAGGTTATTTGTGCAGTGCAAGAGGACGAATGGTTAACAGAACTGCGCCAAGATTCTGAGTTCTCAGAGCGATATCCGCTCTTGAAAATAACGGTTGAAAAACGTGAGGGAGTGGGAGCAACTCTCAAAGCGAACAAACGAATCCGTTGTAGATTTCTGCTGCCGGATGGAGCAGCTTTCTAGAAGGATACATCCTAGTAGCGAGTGGGATTTTATAAGAGGTTCCAAACTGTATTCATGTCTTCAACAGTGGCAGGATTCTTACCACATGCTAGCCGCTTTAGATGCGGCGGAAGGCCATGTTTACGAAGAAGTAAGACGAGTCGCTATGCGACTTGAGAGATTGCAACCGGATGCATCGCGATTCCCGACCACCTCAAGTAACAAGGGAGGTATTGATCGGAAAGCGATCAATGCCACTCATGTGGATATGGTGCGCGCCTAGGCGCTGGAAGCAAGGCCGACAGGCCACCACTGAAATGCTTCAACTGTGGGGGGATAGGGCACTCTGCATACAAGTGTAAGAAACCCAAACGTCCCTTCCAACAACGTGATCATGTAGACCATGCTAATGCAACGAATGGTAGACGTTACAATGGGAATACCGTCGGTGGAATTTCACTTGCCGATAAAGTTGAAGGTTGGTGCAAGACCGTTCGAATGAAACCGAACCTTGGTAGTACTCAGCCGCAAGCCATGGGTAAGCCTTGCACATGTGATGTCAAGATTTTTGGTATTTCAGCCAAGGCTTTAGTAGATACTGGATCAGTGGTTTCAATTGTACCGGTAGGACTACTTAAGCAAGCCCGCGACCAAGGGGTTGACCTTGACAATCAAGCTAGTGTCGTTGGTGATGGAAAACAACGTAAACTGATTGATGCCTCGGGTAATCCGATGTCGTTTTTGTCAGAGATAGTGACTGAAGTTAGCGTACCGGGAGCCTTGACAATCAAGCTAGTGTCGTTGGTGATGGAAAACAACGTAAACTGATTGATGCCTCGGGTAATCCGATGTCGTTTTTGTCAGAGATAGTGACTGAAGTTAGCGTACCGGGAGCTAGTACAGCATGTGTACACATGCATGTACAGCAAAGTAAGGATAATACTTTACTATTGGGTACCAATGCGCTGTTTGAGTTGGGAATTTCCCTAAAATTGTCACCAAGAACGGCTAATCGCGATTGCCCTGATGAAGATGCGAGCCTGGAACATGGGTCGTTTTCAAATCTAGCATGCGCAAATAAACGGGTAGTGATCGCACCTGGTACTGTTAGTACAGTACAAATCAAGAGCTTCAAGCGCCAAGGAGCTTGCGTACTCTGGTCTAGGAACCCATGTATCGAATCTGGTGTATGTCACATAACGGAAGGAAAGGCTGAGATTTCAGTTGTAAACCGAGGTAACGAGTCTTGGGTCATCAATAAAGGTGAAAATATAGGAGAGTGGTCAGCGGATACTTGGGTGGACCCCAGGATAGCTGACATACCCGGTGACATGCTATGTTTGCATCAGTCCAGTGAACCGGAGGGAGCTGAACGTACGGATTTGCTGATCGCTACCTTGGACACCAACAGGAGAGCAGGGCCTATGCCTCGCGAGGTTCGCGAGGTGGTAGTGGAGTTCAGCGAAGTATTTGCCATCTCGGATACGGAGTTGACTCAAACCACCCTTGTCCAACATGACATAGATATTGGTGAACATCCACCCATAAAACAGAAAACGAGACCGGTTCCATATGGCATACGTGATAAAGTGCATACGATGCTACAGGACCTTAAGGAAAGAAATGTGATTGAGGATAGTCAGTCACCATGGGCATCACCCATAGTCCTTGTGGCCAAGAAAGACGGTACCACAAGGCTATGTGTGGACTATAGGGAAGTGAATAAGGTGACTAAAAAAGATAGTTACCCCCTGCCCCCCATAGATATCACACTACAAAATCTGCAAGGCAAGCGTTGGTTTACCTCCTTAGATTTGGCTAGTGGATACTGGCAGGTTCCGTTGACCGACCGAGCTAAGGAAGTTAGTGCCTTCACTACAACGTCGGGGCAATTTCAGTTCCGCGTTTTGCCTTTTGGACTGACAACGGCGCCGGCAAAATTCCAGCGATTAATGGATAAAGTGCTGGGAAATTTGATTGGACCGGAGGTCTCAGTATACATCGACGATATACTGATAGCAACAGATTCGGTGCACAGACATGTAGAAGTCCTGCGAAACGTACTGCTGGCATTTCGGAACGCTCAGCTAAAGGTCAAACCTCAGAAGTGTCGTTTAATGGAACCTAGCCTTGAGTTTCTTGGACATGTAGTGGATGCTAGCGGAGTAAGAGCAGACCCTGAAAAAGTTTCTCGGATCAGAGATTATGCGCGTCCTCAAAATGTTGCTCAGTTAAGAACATTTCTTGGCATGGCCGGATATTACCGAAAGTTTGTTTTGAAATTCTCGCAGATTTCGAAACCACTTTTTGAACTTACCAGTACAAAAAGAATTTTTTTGTGGTCTGATGAACATGATGTGGCTTTCGAGGCCTTGAAAAGAGCTCTTATGAAGGCACCGGTGTTAGTGCAACCTAATATCGAAAAGGCGAGAGATGGATCTAGACCTTTTATTATTTATACAGACGCTAGCAGGAAGGGAATCGGTGCTGTTTTAGCACAAGAAGGAGATGATTCTTTGCTACATCCCGTATTTTTTGCCTCTAAGCACCTGACTAACGCAGAAAGAAACTACCACGTGACGGATCAAGAAGCCCTAGCACTAGTTTTCGGACTCAAAAAGTTTCATTACTTTATTTATGGCGTTCCAGCTATTGTCCGAACTGACCATGCGGCACTTACATCACTTTTTAAAACGAACCAATGTTTCCCCTCGAGTTCTGAGGTGGGCACTAGAGGTTCAGCGTTATGATTTAACCATAGAATACGTCAAGGGAACTGCAAATGCGGTAGCAGATGCGTTGTCCCGCGGGCTGCCTCCTTCGCAAGGTTTGACTCAGGGCTATGCAGAGGACGAAAAGGTTATTTGTGCAGTGCAAGAGGACGAATGGTTAACAGAACTGCGCCAAGATTCTGAGTTCTCAGAAGCGATATCCGCTGTTGAAAATAACAGAATAGAGGAGGATAATTTGATCTTTTGATTTATGGATCGTGTTTCGCCATGACCTCGACTACTTTTACGATTGTCTGTACCGTACATGTAGCCTATGCCTGTATCCACGAGGCACATTGTTCTTGTCAACGAAAACAGCGCCTACAATTATACCTGTGGATACGTCGTCGTTCTGTCAGCGACATCTGGGTCCAAAGAGCAAGAATTTTTGGGTTGATCAATCCAAGGAGTCAAAGCCACGCCCACCATTCCTAGTGATTCTGTCAGTCAGTAGTTCTGTATCGTTGGAGCCAAGTCGGCTCGCTGTTCTTTATATTGTTTTATCTCTTTTGTTCTCATTGCTTTGGGCTCGCGCCCCATTCTTCTCTGTTTTATATTTGGTGTTGTGCGAGACAATAAAGTTTGTCTGCAAGTTTCTTCTTTTGTAGAAGACGAGTTACTTACTCGGTGTTTATCTACTCGGTGTGAGTAATAATTCGTTAGCGCATTATTATTCGAAAACGACTTGGGGGCCAAGCCGGTGATACTTGCTAACTTTGTCTATTCCAGACAAATCGATTGACATGTCATCGAATGACACCACCGCCATGTTCATGGACGCTGAAAATGCGGAGAACGCGGAAAATGGTGCATCGTTGGACAATTGGGAAGCGTTCGGGGTGAGCACTTCTTCGGAACAGTTAGATGTTTCATTCCGAAATATTTTGGCGCGCTTAGATGCCGCAATGGATGATCAGCTCAGAAACGTGGGGTGCCAGAAAAGGCGCACCATAGTGGAGTCAGTAAAGGGTGCGATAGAATGCACAATGATCAAGGTATCCGAGCGGTTGGGCACAAGGTCTCAAGACCCCCATTCCTCATTCTTTGAAGAAGTGGGTATGACGCAGGAAGAGCTGCGTACATTTTTGCCCTTAGTCAGCGCCCATAGCCAAGCCTTAGTTGAACTGTCAACCGTTTTGGGATGCGAACAAAGACAAGTATTAGAAGTCGTAAAGACCAAAAACAATATGATTTTGGAATTACAAGATAAACTAGCCGCAGACAGGCTGCAATTAGAGAAGGAGATAGAGGAGAAAGTCAGAATAATTTCTGAACTTGAGAATCAAAAGAGCGTATTACAGGACCAAGTTATACGCCTGTCAAGCACGAGTGCAGCAGCCGCGCACAGCTCAGTGCCACCTATATCAGGTGAGAGTGATTCAAGACTTGATCACTGGCATGCAGTGCGTAGTCACTTTGATTTGCTGAAAGGCATACAAAGTAACGGATCTCTTCAGGTCACGATAGGATCCCCTCATATGAGCGATGGGCAACCACAGCACCGGATAGCTCCATCCCGCGCATGGTCGCGTCAGTCATCGCCGGAATCTTCCCAAGGCAGGAGCAATGGTGAGTCAATGTCACTTACCACTTATGGTAGTAGGCATAGGCTTAATGGGGAAGATAGAGTAGACAACATGTTTACTGTCTTTCGAGAGGTTTTCAAAGCCCAGAGCGTGGCTAACGTTCCCAAATATAATGGAAAGAATTCGCTCACCGATTTTTTACGGGCACTTGATGTGAAATTCCCTTCCACTGTATGGGGAGATTCTGATAGGCGAGATATCCTAGTGAATCACTTAGAGGGCACAGCCTTGTCGCTTGTCAAGGGCCTACCGCTAGCCATTCGTGAAGGCAGCTTTTTCGATGTAGTCGATGCGCTTAAGGCGGCACGGAGAAATCCCTGCGAACGGTTGAAAAACGTGAGGGAGTGGGAGCAACTCTCAAAGCGAGCAACGAATCCGTTGTAGATTTCTGCTGCCGGATGGAGCAGCTTTCTAGAAGGATACATCCTAGTAGCGAGTGGGATTTCATAAGAGGTTCCAAACTGTATTCATGTCTTCAACAGTGGCAGGATTCTTACCACATGCTAGCCGCTTTAGATGCGGCGGAAGGCCATGTTTACGAAGAAGTAAGACGAGTCGCTATGCGACTTGAGAGGTTGCAACCGGATGCATCGCGATTCCCGACCACCTCAAGTAACAAGGGAGGTATTGATCGGAAAGCGATCAATGCCACTCATGTGGATAGTGGTGCGCGCCTAGGCGCTGGAAGCAAGGCCGACAGGCCACCACTGAAATGCTTCAACTGTGGGGGGATAGGGCACTCTGCATACAAGTGTAAGAAACCCAAACGTCCCTTCCAACAACGTGATCATGTAGACCATGCTAATGCAACGAATGGTAGACGTTACAATGGGAATACCGTCGGTGGAATTTCACTTGCCGATAAAGTTGAAGGTTGGTGCAAGACCGTTCGAATGAAACCGAACCTTGGTAGTACTCAGCCGCAAGCCATGGGTAAGCCTTGCACATGTGATGTCAAGATTTTTGGTATTTCAGCCAAGGCTTTGGTAGATACTGGATCAGTGGTTTCAATTGTACCAGTAGGACTACTTAAGCAAGCCCGCGACCAAGGGGTTGACCTTGACAATCAAGCTAGTGTCGTTGGTGATGGAAAACAACGTAAACTGATTGATGCCTCGGGTAATCCGATGTCGTTTTTGTCAGAGATAGTGACTGAAGTTAGCGTACCGGGAGCTAGTACAGCATGTGTACACATGCATGTACAGCAAAGTAAGGATAATACTTTACTATTGGGTACCAATGCGCTGTTTGAGTTGGGAATTTCCCTAAAATTGTCACCAAGAACGGCTAATCGCGATTGCCCTGATGAAGATGCGAGCCTGGAACATGGGTCGTTTTCAAATCTAGCATGCGCAAATAAACGGGTAGTGATCGCACCTGGTACTGTTAGTACAGTACAAATCAAGAGCTTCAAGCGCCAAGGAGCTTGCGTACTCTGGTCTAGGAACCCATGTATCGAATCTGGTGTATGTCACATAACGGAAGGAAAGGCTGAGATTTCAGTTGTAAACCGAGGTAACGAGTCTTGGGTCATCAATAAAGGTGAAAATATAGGAGAGTGGTCAGCGGATACTTGGGTGGACCCCAGGATAGCTGACATACCCGGTGACATGCTATGTTTGCATCAGTCCAGTGAACCGGAGGGAGCTGAACGTACGGATTTGCTGATCGCTACCTTGGACACCAACAGGAGAGCAGGGCCTATGCCTCGCGAGGTTCGCGAGGTGGTAGTGGAGTTCAGCGAAGTATTTGCCATCTCGGATACGGAGTTGACTCAAACCACCCTTGTCCAACATGACATAGATATTGGTGAACATCCACCCATAAAACAGAAAACGAGACCGGTTCCATATGGCATACGTGATAAAGTGCATACGATGCTACAGGACCTTAAGGAAAGAAATGTGATTGAGGATAGTCAGTCACCATGGGCATCACCCATAGTCCTTGTGGCCAAGAAAGACGGTACCACAAGGCTATGTGTGGACTATAGGGAAGTGAATAAGGTGACTAAAAAAGATAGTTACCCCCTGCCCCCCATAGATATCACACTACAAAATCTGCAAGGCAAGCGTTGGTTTACCTCCTTAGATTTGGCTAGTGGATACTGGCAGGTTCCGTTGACCGACCGAGCTAAGGAAGTTAGTGCCTTCACTACAACGTCGGGGCAATTTCAGTTCCGCGTTTTGCCTTTTGGACTGACAACGGCGCCGGCAAAATTCCAGCGATTAATGGATAAAGTGCTGGGAAATTTGATTGGACCGGAGGTCTCAGTATACATCGACGATATACTGATAGCAACAGATTCGGTGCACAGACATGTAGAAGTCCTGCGAAACGTACTGCTGGCATTTCGGAACGCTCAGCTAAAGGTCAAACCTCAGAAGTGTCGTTTAATGGAACCTAGCCTTGAGTTTCTTGGACATGTAGTGGATGCTAGCGGAGTAAGAGCAGACCCTGAAAAAGTTTCTCGGATCAGAGATTATGCGCGTCCTCAAAATGTTGCTCAGTTAAGAACATTTCTTGGCATGGCCGGATATTACCGAAAGTTTGTTTTGAAATTCTCGCAGATTTCGAAACCACTTTTTGAACTTACCAGTACAAAAAGAATTTTTTTGTGGTCTGATGAACATGATGTGGCTTTCGAGGCCTTGAAAAGAGCTCTTATGAAGGCACCGGTGTTAGTGCAACCTAATATCGAAAAGGCGAGAGATGGATCTAGACCTTTTATTATTTATACAGACGCTAGCAGGAAGGGAATCGGTGCTGTTTTAGCACAAGAAGGAGATGATTCTTTGCTACATCCCGTATTTTTTGCCTCTAAGCACCTGACTAACGCAGAAAGAAACTACCACGTGACGGATCAAGAAGCCCTAGCACTAGTTTTCGGACTCAAAAAGTTTCATTACTTTATTTATGGCGTTCCAGCTATTGTCCGAACTGACCATGCGGCACTTACATCACTTTTTAAACGAACCAATGTTTCCCCTCGAGTTCTGAGGTGGGCACTAGAGGTTCAGCGTTATGATTTAACCATAGAATACGTCAAGGGAACTGCAAATGCGGTAGCAGATGCGTTGTCCCGCGGGCTGCCTCCTTCGCAAGGTTTGACTCAGGGCTATGCAGAGGACGAAAAGGTTATTTGTGCAGTGCAAGAGGACGAATGGTTAACAGAACTGCGCCAAGATTCTGAGTTCTCAGAGGCGATATCCGCTGTTGAAAATAACAGAATAGAGGAGGTTAAACTACCACGGCATAACAAATTGCTCAGTAGTGCTGATTTTGTGATTCAAAATGGAAAGTTGCATTTGATAGTGGAAGATGGAACGTTGGCTATGGTAATTCCACGGTCACGGAGAAAGGACCTCTTCGATGAGGCCCACTCTGGCGTTTTAGGTGGTCATTTTGGCGCTTACAAGATGTTTGCGCAGATGAGGAAAACCCTATTTTGGCCTGGAATGTATCAAGACCTTGTCAGCTGGTGTCGCAGCTGTCAACAGTGCTTTGTTACGAACCATAAATCTAGGAATATCCCGCCGTTACGGCCAATTGAGGTAATTAGACCACTACAAATAGTTGGAATAGACCTCCTGGAAATGGGACTGACTACGCGAGGGAACCGCTACATAGTCACTATCATTGACCATTTCACGAAATATCTAGGAGCGTATCCCATCGCGGATAAGAGGGCGGAAACGGTCGCTGAAGTAGTTTTCAGTAACTGGATATGTGGTGCAGGTCGTTGGCCAGAAATACTTCTCTCGGACAGAGGAAGTGAGTTTGAGAATGAAATAGTCGCGGCTCTCTGCAGTATAATGGGAATCGAGCAGAAATTCACCAAAGGATATTGTCCTAGAGAAAATGGACTGACTGAGCGCGTGAATGGTACCATCGTCCGCATGCTCAAGAAGAAAACAGTCGTTCCTGCTGAGTGGGATCGGGTGTTGCCAACGGTGGTTTATGCGTACAACGCATCTGCACATACGGCGACTGGCGAAAGTCCGCACTTTCTGTTGTACGGCACTGACCCTAAATACCCCTCAGCGGTAATTCCTTCTGACCAGTTGTCACCATATTTAGTGGATTATGACGACTATAAAGACAGAGTTACTTGCCGGGTTGAAGCTAGCGCGGCAACTGATTTGCGAAAATGCTGAGCATTATCGTGAGCGCATGAAGATTGGGTACGATAGTCGCTGGAAAACTAGCAAAAGTACCGTTTTCAAAGCAGGAGACCGCGTGTATATGAAGCTTCCAGCTGAAAAAGGCAAATCGCGACACCCAAAACTTGCTATCGACTGGGCAGGCCCGTTCCGAGTTATTGAAGCAAGCGCGAATTCGGCGTTAGTCACGCTCATTGGAGAGAATAAGGAACCTTCCAGAGTACAGTTTGACCACCTTCTCAAGGTTCCTCGAGAAATTGATGATACTCGGTTAAGCGGGGTAACACAACGCGGTAAAAGGAAAAGAAAAGTAGCATCAATCAAAGCCACTGATGATAGCTACAACGAATTAGGGTATAATTATTTTCATTTCAGCAGTATAAAATCGTCATCATCGAATGTTCGCCACATCGACTGGAAGTGCCCCGGAGAAATGTTGATTAATGGACAACGTGTCGCGTGTACAGTCAACGTTCCGATCAGCAATTTGTTACCATCGGCTCCATTATCGTCATTTGCATTCCAGTCGCCTTATGAGTTAGCCAGAGCATTTGCTGTTATTAGCCAAACTCATGTTCCTGAGCATTTTCGCTTAGCACGTATGCTTGATTCTTCATATGATATTGTTACACCGACCTCTGTCGGACTTGCAATTGCCTTCTATCGTTCACATTGTATTCATATGACATTTGCTGCTGTCGAAGATACAGCAAAAATCACGCCAGGATATCCACCGAGGTCGAATTCGGACCCATACAACCTTCCCAGCATCTACAGTGACGCTGTAAAATTCGCGGACATGCATCCATGGACGGCAACAAGTTGGAAACTACTACAACCACGCCGAACATTGGTAATATTGCCCGAAGGCTTTCAAGATGTGCTGGAGTGCTTCGAGTCCTCCCTGATGTCAGCTAGACTTGCCAGAGAACCAGACGACGTACAGCCGAGATGGTTCGAAGAAGAATTTTCGGCAGTCATCATATTTTCACCGGCGCGTTTCGTCGAGGTGTCGCGTTGGAGAAGCGCTTGGTTTTTGATCATGCAAGCTGTCGCCAGAGGTGCGGAGCTAATAGCATTGGCTGGGCCCAAGGACGACCAGGACTGGGGAAAAGCAGTCGATCAGCTCAGAGATATCATCGAGGAGACGATCACGCAAAGGCCGTCGTTGAAGCGACGGAATTCGTTGTCTACTGCCGCTGAAATCTGAGGAATTCATGCAGAAAGCCCCATTCAGAATCTTAGCGGATAAAATCAATCTTGTGAGTGGTCGACATTTCACACAGAGTGCCGCGAAGCGATTTTGGATGGCAGTACTGGAAACCTACAATTCTGTGTTGCGATTACCACAATTTCATCGCATCTCAACTCAGCCAAAAAAACCGCTCCAGCAGAGAAACGTCGACACGCACCAGCAGTGCTACAGAAGTGGACGAGGAAATCGTCATGACGCAGGAAATAATGAACGCCAGCCTTTTACTGGACATAATCGTTCTTGCTCAAGAACTCGTGGATCCTTCACGGCTGAAGACCGCTACGACGTAACTAGGCGATCACTTCGGGGTCGAGGTGGGAGGGCTGCAAAAGCATATACGCGCAGTGGTAGCGCCTCCTTCTTCGGGGGCCCCCCATGTGGTATGTAAGGTTCTGAAGGTAGTTAGATAATGTCGTGGTTTCGCTTTTTGATCTTTGATCGCGTCCAACAAGTCGATGACCCCTTTTTGTCAATCGCGTCCAGGTGCGATACCTAAGGCAACATTGGGTGTTCGCGCCACGATATACCATATTGACCCTGCCATACCGTAGCGGCTGGCCAAGACACGCCCTCAAAGTAATCGCCTATAAATAGGACGCCTAAGCTGCATTCACTACGTTGTTTTTATCTCGCTCTTCATTCTCATCTAATCCCTTGTTTTATCGAATTCATTGATTGAGATTTGTGGCTCTATTGCTTCAGATCCGTGATATCTTTTCTTGTGGGGCTAATTGCTCTCGAAGTTGTGTGATTTCCGTGTTGAATAAATTGTTGTAAGAAATCTGTTACTCGTGATATTTATAGAGTATATACTCGGATCCGAGGTTATCTGAACTTATTATCTTTTGAGTTCATCGCACATTTTCGCAAGTTTAAAACGACTTGGGGGCCAAGCCGGTGATACTTGCTAACTTTGTCTATTCCAGACAAATCGATTGACATGTCATCGAATGACACCACCGCCATGTTCATGGACGCTGAAAATGCGGAGAACGCGGAAAATGGTGCATCGTTGGACAATTGGGAAGCGTTCGGGGTGAGCACTTCTTCGGAACAGTTAGATGTTTCATTCCGAAATATTTTGGCGCGCTTAGATGCCGCAATGGATGATCAGCTCAGAAACGTGGGGTGCCAGAAAAGGCGCACCATAGTGGAGTCAGTAAAGGGTGCGATAGAATGCACAATGATCAAGGTATCCGAGCGGTTGGGCACAAGGTCTCAAGACCCCCATTCCTCATTCTTTGAAGAAGTGGGTATGACGCAGGAAGAGCTGCGTACATTTTTGCCCTTAGTCAGCGCCCATAGCCAAGCCTTAGTTGAACTGTCAACCGTTTTGGGATGCGAACAAAGACAAGTATTAGAAGTCGTAAAGACCAAAAACAATATGATTTTGGAATTACAAGATAAACTAGCCGCAGACAGGCTGCAATTAGAGAAGGAGATAGAGGAGAAAGTCAGAATAATTTCTGAACTTGAGAATCAAAAGAGCGTATTACAGGACCAAGTTATACGCCTGTCAAGCACGAGTGCAGCAGCCGCGCACAGCTCAGTGCCACCTATATCAGGTGAGAGTGATTCAAGACTTGATCACTGGCATGCAGTGCGTAGTCACTTTGATTTGCTGAAAGGCATACAAAGTAACGGATCTCTTCAGGTCACGATAGGATCCCCTCATATGAGCGATGGGCAACCACAGCACCGGATAGCTCCATCCCGCGCATGGTCGCGTCAGTCATCGCCGGAATCTTCCCAAGGCAGGAGCAATGGTGAGTCAATGTCACTTACCACTTATGGTAGTAGGCATAGGCTTAATGGGGAAGATAGAGTAGACAACATGTTTACTG